TCCTTTTTTTTTTTCTTTTTTTTTTTTTTTTCTTTTTTAACTGAGGCAGTTAATTCCTGGAGATATTCCATTATAACATATAAGTATACATAGATTTCTCATTTATTTAAACCTCTTTGGAATGTAGGCAACAGCTCAGGGGTGTCCTACAGACCCTACCAGAGAGCAGAGCACGCCAAGGCATCCCAATTTTCCAATGGAATAAGCAATCAAGTCCTAAAACCTGGGAGAAAACCCCTCCAAATAAAATAAAAAAATAAAAATAATAATGATAAAAAAAAAAAAAAAGGCAAGAAGCAGAAGATGGAGATTTTTTTTCCTGGATTTTTGGGGGCTTTCTGTGACCCTTTTTTTTTTTTTTTTTTTGGAGGAGGAGAAGTTGGTTTGGAAAAGGTGAGGAGGTGAAATCTCATTTTAATCTTTTCCTTTTGGTTATTTCTCCCCCTGAACCTGGAGGAGGATGTGTGGAAATAACATGGATTTCCACCTGGACACGCAGGGGTGTCCAAGGATCGTGGTTGTCCCACACAGAGGGGATGGAGAGAGATGGGCAGCAGAAAAGTGCTTGTGTTTTTTATCATCACTGGGGGGTTTCATTCCCTCTTTTATGGTCCCAAATAGCGACTGTTGAGGCCCCTGAGAGCAAAGAAGGGCTCTGGCTCTGCCAGAGAGGCCAAGGGACATCAGCCCCGTGGAGAAGAGCAGAAGATGAGCAGGACACAGAAAATATTCCAAAAAAAAACACCACCAAAAGCACCTGAGACGTCCCAAAACGAGCCAAACCCACCCGATTTCCAAGGGGAAATTCCACCCCCCCCATGTAGAGAAACCATCCCAGGGATGAGTCCCATCCCTGGCAGATCTCCATCAGCCCCCTCACATCCATCCTTGTGGCCCAGCACGAGTGGGATACCCAAATTTCCATGGGCTTGAAGGACAGGAGTTCAGAAAGTTCGGGCTGAGCAAGTCTGGTCCAGCACAGCCCTCGCCAAAGGCCAGCAGGCAAGTCAGGAGGAGGAGGAGGAGGAGGAGGAAAAAGGAACAAAATCAAAAGGAACACGAGACAAATCTGCAAATTTCCAGTGTATAAACAGCAAACATCTCTGGGATGGTCTCTGGAGCGGGAATGAAAAGGAAAGGAAAAGAAAAAAATGATGGACCTGATGTCCCTGGGATGGGATGGATGGAGAAATGATGGAGAAACTCCAGCCAGGGGCTGCTCCCAAAAAGCAGAGCTGCTTCCCATGGCTCACCCTTTCCAACCTCTAAACCATCTTCCCAAAATCACTGGGAACACAGCTTGGAAACCTGGAATAATAAGCCTGGTAGGGTGGAAGAGGGATTTGGCCTGGCAGGACGATGGGGCTGTATCTGCACCTGCTGTTCCTTCTACTGGAGGGAAATTTTATCCCAGTTTTTTTGCTTGAAAAAGGCACTTCAGCTGCAGTGGAGCATCCCAGCAGAGCAGCAGGGATGTCCTGGGACAGGGCACACAGGAGCTGGAGTGCCTGGCACCTTTCCAAGGGTGTAAGGGGGTTCTAAGTGACCCATAATGGGTAATCTCAGGGCACTTGGCAGCAAGACAAGAGCCTGAACAGCCCCCAAACCCCTCCAGGGGCTGGAAATCCATCCCACATGGAGTGTCCTGCTGGGATGCCCTTTGCCAGCTCCTCCCCTGTGCACTCTGTGCCCTCACATCTCCCTCCTCTCCCTTTCCAGCTGCTCAGAGGACACAGTGGAGCTCTGTCCTGGTGCCCCCCTGATGGAGGGGACTCATCCATGACATCCCAGTTTTCATCTCCTCTCTCCAGCTCGGGCAAGCTGCTTTCCCCACCCTCCCTGTGTGCCCAGGAGATGAGCCAGGGCTTAACTTCCCAGTGGGGAACATCCCTTTCCTCCTCTGGTGCATATTCCCTTCACCTTCCAACCATCCCCTCCTCCCTCCTTTCCATCCATCCCACCTTTTCTTCCCGTGGGCTCAGTGGGACCACCCACAGCCCCTGAGCCAGCAGTGTAACAACCTCCCTTTCCAAACCCCTCTCTGCTCCCCTCGGCTGGAGCTCCCTCTTGGCCCACTCACTGCCCCTCCACCAGCATCTTGTTTTTAAGCAGCAGCAATTTTGGGGCTGACCTGCCCTAAAATGACCAGTTTTAGGATATGAAGGTGCTCTGGAGGAAATGGGTGAAGGGCCCAGGACCTCTGAGCATCACCTTGGGACTGGGCTCCCCCTCCAGCCCTGCTCCCTGTTCAGGGGGGTTAAGTGCCTGAATATTTTGGCTCTTGGCACTCAGTGTCCTGTCCTTCCAAGCTGATCCTTTGGGATCAGGCAGGCATTGCCCACCAGCACCTCTGGAAAGCCCCTGAGCCCACAGTGCCTCCTGGAATGACCTCAATGCCCTAAAACACACAAGACTGACAAACAACACGAAAAGAAGGTACTTCTGGTTCAAACACTGCCTTGGGATG